CCGCCAGGTGAGTGCTGCTGAAATTTTGCGGACTCATGGTGCTCCTGGTCTGCTATAGTGCTATTGAATGGATTATAGGCGGCGCAGCAGAGTGAGAAGAAGGAAGCCACGACCCTCGGCAGTGAATGAAGGATGAAGTGGAGGCACGGAGGCGGAGCTAGCCAGCTAGGTCTCGCTGTCGGGCTCTCGCTGAGGCGCTGGTCGCTGAGTGTCTGAAAGTGAAAGGGAATTGAAAGGGTAAGGGTAAGTGGGTAACTAACTGGGTAAGGGCCGAAATGGCCAAGGCGAATTAGTGAATTGGGCTGGGGCACTGGGCTGTGGGCTATTTCTGCTTTGTATTGAATGGGTATAACGGGTACCCACATTACCCAAACTTGTATTTGCGGGTACCCATATTAGGAATGTACAATCCCAATCTCCATCCGTTTGTAATATTACGGGTAATATGAGTACCCGTAACCCTTAAAAAAACGATACGTGTATACCCAAATACCCGTTTCCCGTTGCCCACCCCTATGTACCTTGTTTCGGCGGGGGAGGAGTGCCTTGCTCACGTAGTGGACGGGTCTGTCTGTGCCGTCTTGCTCTTCTCACCAGGGCTGAACTCATGGTCTTTTTAGAAATAGCTAGGTAGAGGTAGAGACGCTCTCCGGGGACGGGGGCGCTCAAGACAGGTGGGGAGCTGAGGTGGCTGGTGAGCAATGCGAATGCTTTGTCGCATCCAGCGCCCCACTGAAGCCTAGACGCCGATTTCTTTAGCATCTAGAAGAAAGGAGAGCATTTATCGGCGGATAGCGGGATGAACCTTCTAAGTGCGGCCATTTTTCTGTTGAACGCTTGGATCTCCTTGATCATTTTCGGCAGCTTCAGGTTGAGCACAGCCTCGATTTGCTTGGGGTTTGCTTCAATTCCCCTCTTGGTGATCATGAACCCTAGGAACTTCCTTGCCTCTGCTGCGAAGACACATTTTAGGGGGTTGAGCCTCAACTTCCTCCTTCGCAAGGTTTCGAAGGTTTCTCGTTGGTCTAATAGGTGGTCGTTGGCCTTCTTGATTTTGACTAGGACGCCATCGACGTATGCTTCCACGTTCCTTCCCATTTGTTCCTCGAAGACCGCATCCACCATCCTTTGATAGGTTGCTCCCGCATTCTTCTACCCAAAGGGCATGACTACGTAGCAGAAGTTTCCCATGGGTGTCATGAATGCGGTCAGCTCTTGGTCGCATTCCGCCATTTTGATTTGATGGTAGCCGGAGAACATGTCTAGGAAGCCGAGTGCTTCATGGTTAGCGGTCCCATCAATGAGCTGGTCGATGTGGTGAAGGGGGTACGCATCCTTTGGGCACGCTGAATTGAGACTTGTGAAGTCGATACACATCCTCCAAGCGCCTCCGAATTTGCGTACAAAGACCGGGTTTGAGAGCCAGGTGGGGTATCTCACATCCCGAATGAAGCCGACTTTAAGTAGACGCCGCACTTCCTCTTCTAGAGCCATTTGCTTCTCGAGAGACAAGTGTCTCCTTCGTTGTTGAATAGGTCGAACCTTGGTCTTGCATAGAGTCGGTGTTTGGAAACCGTACGGGGGACGCTGGGCTTGTCCTCCGGCCCCCATGCGATGAGGTCTTGAAACTCTCTGAGGAGCGCAAGTAGATTTTGAGCCTCTTCGATGGCGAGAAGCGCACTATTCTGTCCGGTCGCTCCTCATCCAAGGCAACTGCTACGTCTCCTTCGACCGCCTCAGGGCGCGGTATGTCTCCTCTCGCATCCACTAGATCTACTTCGAGGTGTTCAACGGTTGCTTGGTAGCACTCCTTGACTTCCTTTATGTTGCCCCGGACATGGCCTGTGTGCACCCCACTAGGGAATTTCAACATTTGGTGGCATGTGGATGCAACCACCTCAAAGGACGCGAGAAAGCTGCGTCCCAAGATGGCATTGTAGGCTGAGGGGTAGTCTATTATGGGGAATTCAACTGGCCTAGTCTTCGTGATTCCCCCTTCTCCTATGTTGACCTTGAGCGTGATTGATCCGAGGACCTGAACCTTGGTTCTAGAGAACCTTACCAGGATGGTGTTGGAGGGGTTGAGGTCTTGCACGCTCTTCTTCATTCCCTTGAGTGCTGAGTAGAAGAGGATGTCGGCTGAGCTTTCGTTGTCCACGAGGGCGCGGGTGACTTTAAACTTGGCGGTACTGAAAGAGATGATCAAGGGGTTTTCCGAATTTTCTTCTTTGGCTAGCTCGGATGGGAGGAACGTGACATCAGTTGGAACTCTGCGTTGGACGTTTAGGCAATGAGAAATGCTATCTCCTTCGGTCCTTGGGCGTTTCCTGCCCCTGCGATGGTTATGACTCTCATTCCGTCGTCGTCATTGCGCTGGGTTCATTAGGCGGGGGACTCCCTCTGAGGAGAGGCGGCCTTATTCCTGGTCGAGGACCGCGACCTATCCTTGCTCGGCCTTCTTGTTTTGTCCATTCCCTGGCTGCGAGATCCTTCCCGTGTTTTAGCGGAGTGGTCTTGATGGGAACACCAAGTTTCGAGGCGGCTCCGCAGTTCGCCCGGAGCTAAGTATCTCAGGATGGCTTTGAACTCCCTACACTCAGCGGTGTCGTGACTAGTGATTTGGTGCCAGTCGTACCACTTCTTTCCTTCCTGAGGTTCCTGATTGGAAGGCGGTTCTTGTCTCCTCCCACCTCTTCCTCTTCCTCTTTCTCAGTCGGCGGAGAATACTTCTCTTTTTCCTTCGCGCTCCGCGTATCGACTGCGGTATGACTTCCTTTCTGGTAAGCGCCTTCCCCGTCGTGCGTCAGAGCGCTCTGAGGGATCGTTCCTGGGGCGCCCCTGTTGGCCACAGTCATCTGTGGCAAGCGCTTCCTCAAGCAAAATTGCTCGGCGCACCAACTGATCCAAGTCTGACCACGACGTCAGCATGGCTTCCTTTTTTATCAAGGTTCTCTTGAGCTCGATGCAGGTCATGGATATTCTGAGATTTCTGGCGGCTACGATCGAGGAGATGCCTTCCACTTCACATGCGATCGCGTGCCATCGGTCGTAGAACTCCGCGAGCGACTCTTCCTTCCTTTGCCATGTTCGACATTGACCGCTGAAGGTGACGGAGAACGCCCGGCACAAATCTGAGTCTGACGCATTGATGCGTTGCATCTTTAACATGAAGGCGCAAAGGTGGTCCGCAGGATATGAGGTCCCGCTGTAGGTTGGTAGTACGAGGGAGGAGAAGTTTGGCGGAACCGGCATTTTGAAGAGTTCCTTCGACAGGGGGTTTTGGAGAACGTTCGGACTCTTGTGCTTCCCACAAGTTGAGCGTAGATGTTCTTCGAGGAAGCCGAGATCCAAGTCTTCTGCGTCCGGTCCCACGCCTTCTGTCGGAGCAGGGCTGCCTAGGACATGGACGGCTTTTTGCTTCTCCTCGCGCGCCCTTCCCCTTGAACCCTCGGGGGGGGGGGGGGGGGGGGGGGGGGGGGGCTTCCTTGGCCTTTAGAAGTTGGAGGATTTGAGAGAGGTTGTCTTGCATGCTTGCGATTTGTAAGCCCTGACTTTTGACCACTTCTTCAAGCTCGACTTCATCCTCGCCTCTCGGCGATAGGCCTCGGAGGGTGTTGTTCTCGGTCATTCCTTTGAGAGGTGTTTCGAAATCGTCTCCCATCTTTTCCGCAACTAAGTCGTAGGGCCCCACGGTGGGCGCCAAAATGTTTGTGCTTGGATCATACCAAGCGGTTTTGTGAGTCCCGACAGCCTCGAGCGGCTTCGATGGTCGAAGGCGGTCTCCGAATCCCTGCAAGAAAGGTCCTCAGAGGGATCCTGGGACCTCCTCCGATGCCTAAGTTAGAGAGAGGATTGAGAGAATAGTAAATAAGAGAGAGAATGGAGTAGTTAGAGTTACCATAAATGTGATCCATTGATGGGTATTTATACTAGTGGGCATAGGAGTGAGGACAATTGATGAACTGTCGGGCGGCCGAGGGGAGCCTCTGACCTCAATTAAATGCATGGTCAGATTCGTACCTTGGTCAGTATCCATACTGGGTTTGTCAGGGCACTGTACATGCCTGTTGTCGGGCGCCCTGACATGTTTCTGTTGAATACGTGTCGGGAGGTTTCCATCGTGTTAAGGAAGACCGCCTCCGGGCTGAATTTGTTTGTCTAATGGGCCTTTAGTGATCATGGGCTTGGGGGCCATGTGTCTTAATGATTAGCCCAACATGTATAAACAAGATGTAAATTTTTGAGGTTGCCAACTAATTGCGTGCATCACAATCGGCATTAAAATTGTAGAACACAATGGTATTGTTATTAATATAATTCACTTATTCAAACATGACTGCCATGCATGATTATTTACATCCTACCCACTAGTTCTTTTTTGTATGGGTTGCATTTATTATTTTATTATTATTATTATTATTAGGTGCTGCATAGAGACCCTGTTGGTAGCATCACTAAACCAAAATTTTATTAGCGAAATAATAATCTTATTATATATTAATCGTAGCGTGTTAATAGGAGCTTTTCCACCAAAATCAATTTTAAGAGTATTCTTGAGAATTCCTAGGGGTCGTTTGGATTAGGGAATGTGTAAATGAGGGATTTGGATTAAAATCTCTCAATTAAAAACCCAGGTATTTCAAACGTGGGATTTGATCCAAATAACATGTTTGGGAATAGATGAAGGATTTTAATTAAAAACTAAAGTTACAGTTATACCCATCCCTAATCACTAAGGAAGAATAAGAAAGGAAGAACAAAAGGAGGGGCAGAGTTTGGAAAAGCATGAGAAAAAATGAGTGATTGTGAAATAGCTGATCCCCATCAGGTATTTTAAAAACTCTCATATGAGGGATTTAGAATTTCCTCATTCCCACAATCTCTCACCTTTCCAAACGCAGAATTGTTTTAAAATCCTGCACAACGAGAGATTGTTTTAAAATCACTCATAAATCCCTCATCACATTCACTAATCCAAACCACCCCCTAATGTATTCCAGAAATACACAGATAAATTATTCCAACAAAGTAAAAAATATATATATATATAAAAAATCATGCATTTTCAAATTACACGAAACATCTTAAACATGAAAAAAGACCTCTAAATCAGCAGCATAGTTATAGTAGATGATGACTAAATAGAAACATTGTTATTCCTTGTGAATTTCTGAAACAATGGAGACGAGTTATGTTGTCTTAGCTGAAACCCTCGTTGTTGCAGCCTCTAAAGGAAATGATTCCTGCAACCAAACTCCCTCCCTAATGCATCACCATGAATATCCATCCAATATCACATGCATGATCTGTTCATTCGTCTCCATCACATTGAACATTCTCAAAACTCCATAAATGTGCAATAATGATGTGAATTTACATATATGTGAATTCACAATGAAAGCCCCATGCAATTATTCTTTCTAGCTTTACTGAATAATCTCGATCTTCTCCCCAAACACCCCTCCTCTCTTGTATTAGGTCACATCCATGCACGTCAATTCTATTGCCTAAAACTTGTATTGTCTGCAGATAAGTAGTTTTGAGATGGACAACTCATCCACATTCTTCTTTTGGGTCATATAGCATATATATATATGCCATCTCCATTTCTACGTTTTCCCACACCATAAAACAGCTTTTAAGCAAGCGAACCGCGAAAACAAAGAAATGCTCTAATCAAGAGACAACGGTCGAAATCACGAAGTTTCAAACAATGGAAGTCTGAAAACTATAATCAAGCATACGAGTTCATTTCGCTCAACACTCTTTTAACACATAGAAAAATGAGAACAAGAGTGTCGTCCATATGATAGGCCATGTTGCACTTCGCATACCAGCAGCTAGCAAGCTTTATAGTAATTAACATGCATGTAATGAAATCTGGTTTGTGGGTTTGGAGTGCCGACTTCTGCCATCTTTTTTTTTCTCATGTGTTGTTAGTGGAAGGCAATCTCTATAAAGCTGCCGCTATGTCTCTTTTTAAAAAATTCCCCAAATCTCCCTTCTTCGAAGAACATTCAATATGAACTTTTTCTGCAATATTATTTTTTGGGTTGGGCAAAAAATTCTTTGGTTAACCAAACACGGAACCAACAATTTCTCTCCCTCTCGCAAGGAAACCCGGTTACCGGGGGGAAAGCAGGCATCGAGTTCAACACCAACCAGAATTCAGAAAGCACATCTCAGAACCAGCCACACAAAAAATTCCTTTTCAAATTAATAAATCCCCAGAAATACTCCAATTAATTAATTAATTAATTAATCATATGGGTTTAAACTTTAAACGATTGAAAGAAGGAAAAAAAACAAGCTATAGCCCTAGCACGCATCCACAAGGCAACACAAACGAGGAATTAGGGTTGTCATTAACCCAAATCCAACAATTATAAAGCATCACAGAATCTCAACGCTATTAACCTATACTATAATCATCATCTCTAGCTTCTTCCTTCTCCAACTTTAGCTACCATCAGCCTAATATTCTTATACCCATCCAGTAATGCATTACCGACGGGTTATGAATACTCGACAAATTTATAATAGAATGAGAATGAAGACAAACCGAATTTTAAGATTCACGAGATAAGTGGTGTTTCAGTGTTGTGTTAAGAATTGCACCAATGCAACATTAATATTACACTAACGTACTCTCGCTAGCTAACTAGCTAAAGCTAAAGAGGTCATTTTTAAAGAAGAGAAACCCTGCTCTAAACAATTATCCGCCTGCCTCACAACAAATTTGCGTTTCATCTCTTCCACATTTTTTTCTACCTTGGGGGCGGGAAGAATTGCGTACCGGCAATGAACGCATTGAGCGGAGCCGGGTATAGAGAAGCCGGATCCATCATCGACCCAGAAGCAGCCGGGTTGACGGCCTGATCAACACCGCCACCGCTCGTTCCCGCCCCGGCTGTGCCTCCTCCTCCTCCTCCGCCGCTCGTCCCCGCCGTTATCAGATGCAAAGGCTGCCCTCCTCCTCCTCCGCCGCCGGAAGAGCTCTCTCCACCGTAACGAGATGAATGGTGATGATGATGATGATCAGGGCCTTGATCGTACAGAATTCCCTTGAATAAGTGTCCACCTATGTTCACAGCCGTCTGATACGCCGTCTGCTCTTCCGCATCGTCGATGGAGCTCACCTTCACGCACCGGAACACCGCCGACGAGTTCACCTCGCTCGGAAAATGCCCTCCCACTTCCAACCCTAAACCATAAGCCCCAAAATTTCATGTCAAAACATTTTTTTTTTTTGTTCCGTCACTCTTACTAACGAATAGTAAACAGACATTTCAGTTATGTTTAGTCAACTCATCAGTCACTCATTCAGTCAAACCCTTCACAATCAGAAACAAATCAATTTATGATACTGAGAAATCTTCTGAATTTTTTTTTTACCTGAACCAGTGCCCGTCGCCAAGCGCGACGAGCTGCTCTCTCTCAGCCGCTTCGGAACCTCGCCGCGGAACGGCTGAACCGGATCCTGCTGCTGGAGCGCCGCGAGCTGGTGCTGGCGCTCGCGGCGCTTCGCAGCAGGGACCCACGTGGATTTCACGTGGGTCGAGCACTGGAACCCGCGGCTCTTGCAGCAGGTTCGGCATCTCATGTGCGTGCAATCCTTCTTGGCCTGATTACCACAATCCTGACAGTTAATCCCTCCTCCAGATCCTCCGCCGCCGCCTGACCGCATCATGATCCCTCCGCCGCCGCCCGATCTAGAAGAATCATCAGAGCTCCGGCTCGTGCCGGCCCCAAACGTGGACGCCGCCGCTGCGTAGATTCCGGCCTGGTGCTGCTGCTGGTAGTACTGCGGCCATATCTCGAACCCGAACCCTCTGTGTCCTCCCCCGCCGCCGCCTGCCGTGGCTGCGTTTGCGCCGCTGCTGCTGTTGTTGTGGATCTCTTCGTCTCGAAACAGAAACAAGCTGTTGTCGTCTCTATCCTCTTCTCTTTTATTACTTGCCGCTGCCGCTGCTGCCGCCGCTGCTGATGATATGACTGTGTCTCTTCCGCTTAGATAGAACCACCCTGCCATCTCTTACCTAAATCCAAACCCAAATTTCTCCCCAAATCCATAGCAGATGGAAACGGCGCCGTTTCTGAATCAGAATTCACACTATCATCCTAATTTCTCACCCAAAATAAAATGGAAAACCTAATCAAGCTGGCTCTACTTGCGAATTTCAGGTTATTAGGGTAGATAGAGAGAAACAGAGAAAGAAGTTGCAGAACTAACAGTTGAAGTAGTAGTAGTAGTGATAGAGAGAAGGAAGGACTGAAGAGGAGGAGAGGAGAAATTGATTTTTTTTTTTTTTTGGGGAGAGTGTGAGTGAGTTGAATTGTGGTAGCAGGGAGCAATAATGGCACGGAATTAGAGCTGCTCTGCAAACGCCGCCATGGAAACTGCAACTCTTTCCCTGCTTCCCGCGCGGCTCTTACTGCTGCTGCTGCTGCTGCCTGCTCATGCTGTCGATCTCCATTTAATAAATGGCCACCACCACCAGACCTACTTTTCTCTCATGAATTCCTTCCTTTCTTTCGTCTCCTCTCCCCGAGACAGAGAAGGCGAAAGCCAGAGAGAGAAGAAAGCAAAGCAGAAACAAGGAATGAAAGAGAAAAGGAAAGGAGAGGGGGAGGAAAGGAGGAAGACAAGGAAATCTATCTCTGGGCACTTCTCTACAGTTTTCTTCCAGTCTCGATGCATTTCCTTTCCTTTATCTCTCTCTCTCTTATTTATCGAGCGAACGGCGATGGGGCGTGATCGGACGGCTGGAGGGGTGTACGCGTGGCGTGGCGCCAGCTTTTCCTTATTCGTCCTCTGCACCGGAAAACCCGCTCAGTACTTTTATCTGACCCCTCTCTTTTACTGTGATTTAAGATTTTGCTTCGCTCTAGGAAAAATGGAAGAGGGAAAAAACAATTCATTAATCGAAATTATAAATGCGACGCGTGATTTGGATCGAACGGCTGAGAGGATGTCTCTGTGATGAGACCGCTGGTTGGGTGATTGTGATAATTCCATAATTAAAGAGATATTTATTTACAATTGGGAAATTCTTTGGGCTATCATTTTATGGATTGACTGTGACTGAGTGTGAGAATGGCCACAGAAAATAATTAGACAGGGTTTTTTTTTTATATTTTTAGTTTTTTACAACTTGCTGGCTGCATGGGATTTTTATTTATTTGATTTTAAGAAGGAATTTTAAAAAATTAATTAATTCGAGAGAGGATTACTGCTGTCAAGTCAACACGTTTTTTTCTTTTTAAGTTGGGGAGAAAAATGTGTCCCGCCGTTTCCTATAATAGGAAAATTGCGGTGGTTTAATTTAATTCTTGGTCGTTATTATTAATTATTCTTTCGGCCGTAAGCATGGAATCATCTAATCGAAGTGTGATTACAATCTAAACACGTACAGTAGTAGGGCAAAACTGTACCAAGCTGGTTCACTAATCACAAACTTAATTAACTTATTAATTAATTGAACTTTCGAAGTGTGACATATTGTGGTACATAGTGCATTATCATCATCCAAATTAGTACACTTATTTACGAGTTTGAACCTGCCTACCCTTATTCAATAACACAGTAGACTTATTAATGACAATATTACGTGAGAAATGATATTGTCTTTGGATTGGAGATCAACATATGACTCAATAACTAGTCCATATGATGCGTTATTCGTTCAGACTTTAGAGTTTGCATGTTCATTTGTATGTTATTAAGTCACTTTACTCTGTATATCGGAAGCAAACGGATTATAAGCAGAAAAAAGAACATTATGTGACCATTTAAACAACATTCAATAAATGTTTTCGTATTTACATACAATTAAATTCATTATTTTCCCGCACCGACATTCCTCTGGTTGAAGCAGAAGCACCATAAGCATAATCGACTCAAATGATTGGACTGATCGCATTAGTGTGATACTCGCGATCAATGTTTTCGACAGTAATGTCGGAGATCAAACTAAAAATCAACTTCAATCAACGCATTGCACGTATTTTCGTCTAGTCATTTTTCCACCTGAATGTGATGTGTTTTCTTAACTCCAATATAATTTATCTGCTCGAAAACATCATATTATTATCATTATCCAAGTACACTCAGAGATTAAGGTGAAGACCAAGAAGAAGAAGAAAAAAGAGAACAGTGACATTCCCTCTCTTTTTCTTGTGATAGATCATTACGGACCCTACTACCTCACATGAACAAAACGAAAAATGCGGACGAGATGATGAATGAACGTTGTTGTATCCATCCACTTGGTAAAACCGAGTCTCATATTGTAAAACGGAGCACCAATAAATATTTGGATTTTTCCTTTATTTAGGCCTTTCATAATTGGAGTCTAGCTAGTAACTATAGAGGCCCATCATTGGTGTTAATTAGCATCCACTAAACCCACAATATATGTATATGATTTTATAACAAATTTATCAGTTTTTTCCCCATTATAAATTAGGGGGAAAAAACGGGTAACTGATGTGATCAAGCACGACGACATTGGTCGCTGAGTTAGCAACAGTCAACAGATGACAAGTATTGACAATCGTATTATTCTTATATATTTTTTGTTACTGGTTGTCGGTTTCGAGTTTCGAATCTCATGACATTAGTCTATGGGTGAAACTCGTTTTTATTTATTTATTAAAATTATGTTAAGTAAAGGCAGCTAACAAAGCATCTTAATCATCTTTGAAGTACTGGTGTGCGAATGCGATCCATTCACTACATAGAAAGGGAAGTACCAGTTGATCTGTGAACCAACAACTTAACGGGATTACCCCGAATTTAGATATTGATAAATAAGTCTTATATCATTCATTTAACACAAGTCTTTCATCTTATTGTGCTTAACTAAATCAAAAAGTAATATTGAGATTATCCAAATTGAAACACCAATACCTTTAATGCATCCAAAGGATCTATATTATGCTCAAAAACCAATTCGTCAGTCCATGATGAAAAAAATTCGTTGTTTCCCCCTAAATATTTAGGGATGGGAAGTATTTTAAAGCTATTTAGAAAGTATATTTTTGACTTTTTGTACAAAGAACGTATGAATGTGTGGGTGTTGTCAAGCTTAACTCTGATGTAGGTGTTTTCCAAAATGGCGGAATGGGTTTGGGTTGTGTGTTTAGAGATTGGAGGGGAGCTTTTGTTGGAGCTACTTTGAAGAAGGAAAAGGGATCTTGCAGACCGATCGAGGCGGAGGCTAGGGCGTTGGTGATGGGATTGGTGGAAGCAAATCGGAGGAATTTCAGCCCCCTAATTATAGAGTCAGACTGTCAAGTGCTCATCAACAAGCTAAAGAAGAAGGAAGCGGATTTCACTGAGCTGGGAAACTGGTGTGATGGAATTTTGAGGTTGGCGAAGGTAAACGAAGATTTGTTTGGTTCCCAGGTGGTTTGGTCGTTTGCTGGTAGAAAGAAGAACAAGGTTGCTCATTGGTTGGCCCATTCGGGGTCGGTTTGGGACCGTCAAGTGGTGTGGACCGACAGTCCACCCCTTTCTTTGTTAGCTCTTTTGGATGATGTTCAGGGCCGCGACCCTTGTAACGGAGGATGATTTTCTGAATCGAATATAGGTTCCCATAATATATATATATATATAATTTTATTTGGATTAACGAAGAAGTTTCATTTCCGGCGTCGCACCGAAGCTAAGAAATTAATCACCAACAATGATGACGAATTATGAATCCAAAACAAATGCGCCAGTCATCGACTGTGCACTATCTAAAATGACTCCAAAAGATCCCGAACGGGACAGTTAAATAATTAAAAATAAAAGCTTAATCTGTCGTTAACTGAGAATTAACGCTCAAATAATTACATAATTTTAGTGAGATTCCATATAAAATGGTGTTATGTTTTTTTAGAAATCGTTATTGTAGAATGATAAATAAGGCTAGGGTGATGATTCTAATTCTGAAAAGTATAATTCTCTTAAAACAATCTAGAAATTGGGTCTTAATCCCATTAAAACCATGTAACGGCAATAGGGTGATGATTGGAACTAAATACTTTGCATTGAGATTACATGACCACTGGTAAAAAAAAAGAGAAAGAAGAAAAAGGGAGGGCAAATCCCATACCCAGGCTTCGCAGAAGCCAAAATATAAAGAGACATAGACGGAACTTACATAGATAAAGTAGATTATTTTGATTACTCGGCAGGAAGGTTGTTTGGGCAGTCGCAAATCGCAATGACACTATGGAGGGGATGAACTTGTCGAATATGCTGTGTAAACTGATGACGAAAGAGATATGCGATTCCGGAGGGGCAGGGAAATAGGCGCGCGAGAGAGAGTGAGAGGCGACGAAGATCTTCGCCGGGAGAGTTTGGCAGACAAACTGCAAGAGAGAGACGAGGTGAGTTTCCTGCGGCATAAGACAGATGGCGAGAGCGAAAGACAGGCGGCCGAGATTTCTTTCGGAGGGGTCGGAAAAAGACGCGAGAGAAAGAGAGGCGTCGTGGGTCTCTTCCGGGAGGGGTTGGGGGACATGGGGAGAGAGCGCGAGAGGAGGGCTGACCTTTTCGGGAGGGTTTCAGCGAGAGGAGTGTGCGATTACAGAAAACCCCCTCCGCAGTGTGCGGGTTGTTGATGGTATGCTGACGTGGCAGAACACATATATTGACATTGCTTTATAGTATTTTGTAGAGTTAGAATCGTTAATTATTATTTTTAGATTAGAAGAAGCTTATAACTTGAGTTTAGAGAATTAGGGACGACTAAAGTTCACTCATTGAAGATTATGGCATATTATCATGTCTCAAAATTTAATTAATTTTTTTGACAAATAATAATTATATATTGATACTCAAAAATACATCATACAATAAGGTCGGAATGCTAGCATAAACTATTGATCAAAATCCCTCCCATAATTTATCCCCCAAGAAAAAACCTCAACTTCAATTTCAAACGATACAAAGAGAGACGACTAAATACTAAATAGTCGATTGCGAAACTGAGTGTCGCAGTATCAATAGCTTGGTTGTTAGCTAGCTAGGCTTTTGCCAAGAAAGAAAAAAGATAAAGGAGAATAATATGATTCTTTAGCCCTAAACGATCACGTGAACTGCAGATTTGGCTCTCTAATTTTTGTGATTTAACTCAGCTAAACGTAATTATCAAAGCAAACCCTTCATTGTACGGATTCCTGCCTTCTTCGATCGACAGGCTTTCATCATATAATAATAACAATTTGGTGACAGTACGTATTCTGTAGACTCCTAAATACAAGTGTGTGCATGTTCTTCTTTATATGCAGGACAATCAGAAATACCTCGAATCCGTATGCAATGGATAATATTAATTAGTTTATATAAAGTTGAAGTGCTAAATTATTACATTTTGATATCACAAATTTAATTAAATTACAATTTAGTCACTATAATGTACATTTTGATATCACAAATTTAATTTTAATGTAAAATCATTGAACAATTATGTTTTGGTATCTAAATTTTATGAGATTTTAGTACCTACAATTTTTTACATTTACATATTAGTCTAATGTATAGATTTCACTTGAATCCATGAATCCAATACACCAATCCTTTTGAACCAATCCATGGATCCAATCCACGATAATATAAAAGTATAAATTTAGTTTGTACCATACAAGATGTTGTATCAGTCAAGTGTAGGAGAAGGTTCGACCAATTTATATTTGCTCATTACGTAAAATATTGAAAAAATGATATAAGAAAGACGATTTTAAAACATTGCAAGAGCGAATTTATAAACTCATTAAGTACATTTACAGGGTACTAAATTAAACAAACGTCAACTAACTACATGTAACAAAATATGCGACATCTACATATAAGCAAGTGTGAATAAATTGCTATGGTGAAAAGGGTTGTCTATTGTATTGAAGGCCAACTAAGCGAATTGATCAAAACCTTTTCATCATCTACTTCCTTTTTGTTTCATTTTTCATTCGCATTTAACCCTTTCTTTACTTCTTTCTTTGCCTTCTTCGTGTAACCCCAATTAGTATACTATTTGTATGTATTCTAATCACAAGTATGAACGGGTTCATACACCATTGACCAACAGTCCAGACAATTAATAATTGAACAATAAATCACTAACTTTCTCAGCTAAATGTCGAGTCCAATTAGAAACAGATATATATAATTATTTCTTATTAGAAAGCCGTCATTTTCCACTATGGGATTTGAAGACGTGAAACATATATATATTATTATTTCTTCTTAGAAAGTCGTCATTTTCCACTATGGGATTTTAAGTGAGTTTCAGTTTGTATTTCTTTTGCTTCTCTCTAGAGTTTTTCTTTTTCACCCGGGCTAAAATTTTCAACAACGATACCTATCAAATAAATAGTTTTCTATTTTCTATAAAAAATAAATAATTATCATATTAAATACATCACCATAAAAGGAATTAAGCCTCAACTATGCAAATTATAGTTGGGTACCTAAACTTAATATTTTTAACCTAAATTTATTTTTTTGGCATATAAGTCCTCAAAATATTGATAAAATATTACATTTGAGTACCTAAAATATTTGAGTATTACATTTAAGTACCTGAACTTTTGAAGTTCTACAAACAGGTATAATTTTTGTATGTGTAATTAAAACACCATCGAATAAATGAGTATCTATACCCAACTCATATACATTTGGATTATGAGAGTAAATATCCATACACTACCCAAACTCATCTACAAACTTCCAAACACATATATACATCACCCATACCCTACCCATAATCAATGAGTCTACTTGAGTTTAGGTAAATATAATTTATTAGCCAGAAATTTTAAATTTTTAAAATTGAATGTTGACCGCCATATATCTCTTCTCAGTCAATATCATATTGTCAAGTCAATATTACTAACAAAACTGCTAATAAAAAATTAATATTAGGCTAATAATACGAACAAAACACTATAATTGGTCATATAATACATGCCCATAGGCCATCTCCGCCAGCGACAAGGCGCGGCATCGCTACCTAGTATGTTATAAAATAGATGAGACATACATATGACTAAAATATGTATTATATTTCTTGATCGCATTAAGAACCATACTCGCTTATGTACTTGCTAAAGAACTACGTACTTTTAGTGGAGCAGGTACGAGTATGAGACGAGAGCCAAGAGAGTCTACAACCATACTCGCTTCATTCTCATGAAACGCTATACGGGTTTACTCATACATGTCCCATATCCAATCCAGTGGCTTAGCCATACCTTGAATGGATTGGAATTCTTAAATTTTTTTAGTTAATTGGAGTCTTTTACGTGAGATAGGGATATCAACCAAATCCATGGCTGCGGATGCCTTACCGCCTCTGACCCAGTTAACGCGGGGAATCTCCGCTTTGACTGGGTATGGGGCGGGTGTGGGTAAAACCTACAAAAAGGTTGATGGGTATGGGACGGGTATGGTTTTGGACACCCCCGCCACATACCCATATTCAAACCCGCCACAACAAGGATATTATGTTATATGCATACAATATAAGGAGTCTATTGTAACTTGTCAATTGAATGAAGAGTAATTAAAAGGTAAAGCAAAGTGTAAAATGTCATTGATGACAACCAAACCAAAATTTCATCCTCTTATGTATTAGTTCCATAATTTTGGGCGGGTAATACAATATTTGTCACCGTATTCTTTTATTAATGATGAGTAGTTGATGGGCAGGTATTATCCATGGGTATCCGAAAACCTAGGGTATGGGGATGGGTTTGTAACACCTTCTACCGCATGGGTATGGGGTGGGTATTGATTTAGGCATTTGGAAATGCGGATTGGGTTGGTTTAGGCAAACCCACCCCATTGTCATCCCTAACGTGAGGTAGTATCGGCATAAGTATGGGGTCCTACCTTTCAAGAATACTGCTAAAACACATATATTTAAAGTTTTTTGGTACCCATTTTTTGCTAACTGGGGTCCTAGGACCCCTCTCCTCAAATGCTCCCTCCGCTACCGACCCAATCAATGTGAAGATTCACCGAGTTGACTGACTCGGGAACAGTCAAGTACCCACGATTGTGAATTTGATTGTCATCCTTAATCTCAATCGTTGCAAGCCTTCTTTAAGCGTTATGGTTGATCGGCTTTTTGGTTCCGTAACTAGGAACGTAACTCTCTTCCGACATATTAGATCAGATCATTGTTAGAATTCAACATTATTTTCGTAGCTAATAATGAACCCAAACTAGTGGTCGATCACATTGCTTGATTTCACAAGACATGAATGTTATTGCGAATCAAGTGATGGTTTTCTGTAAAACCTTAATCTCAAAACATAAAGTAGGCTACTAAGACCTAAAAAAGTTAATTAATCCGACTACTAATTATAGGGCCGTCCCCACGGCACAGTACACACACGGGGACACACTGCCGTTGACAGTCACATGCTTACCATTTTGATTTCCCCGCTAATCATGATGATTAACATTATAGTTAGTACTTTAATAATCATAACCGGCGTACAAAAAATTGTTTATCGCCGAAAAACAACGTTGAAAAGTGTGGAAGACTTTTGCTAATTAGGGGCCCGAGGCAAGGTATTGTCTGATCAACGTGGGTGGGTTCGCTTCGCCGCCGGCCAAGCTTTTTTAATTATTATTATTATTTTGGTAGAAAGCTTTTTAATTAGATTATAAAGAAGAAGGGCCTAATTGAATTTCCTAATTGCTTTAGGGTGAAATGAGGTTGCCTAAGTTTGATGATTTTATTGGTTGCCTCTCTATTTAGTGGACGGTTGAGTGAGGCTCCAAACCAAGAGGGAAAGTCTTAATTCTGATCTCATCCAAATCCTTACTGTAAAAGGATTATATTCTCCCTTAAGGTTGTTCTTAACAATCTAAGCAAGGCGTTTACTGTTTAGGTTTATCCGAGTAAGTAGTAGGCAAGTCACCAACAACAGGTTTTATTACGACAAATTTCATGACATTTCTATCTATATATTATGCGCATCTGCATTTAGCATTGGGTAGACCTCATACAATAGCTGTGCTATACATTCGTAGAGTTACAAATTAGGCATAATATCGTATTATTCTCGTCTAGAAATTCGTGTTTTAAAGTATTGTTCACCATGTTATCTTTGAATCGTCCTCGTACATGGATCGCGTGTTATACCTTGCGCTCTGAATGAAATTTACATAAAATGTCAACTTTCGTTTTTGTTGGCTTACAAGTTTCAAGCGCTGAATATGTGAATCAGATAGTGATAAACCTCCCATCAACCCGAAAGAGCGACAACAACTATTATTTATTGCAAGTGTAATACCCAAAACAATTTTTATCTACTATTTTTTTCCAAAGTAGTTTAATTTAATTTATTGAAAGTATTCTATTATATATTATATTATGTAGGCAATATAAAGCCGAAATTCGCAAAATCTTTTGTGACTTTGGTGTCACTTCATAGCTTGGTTTAAAAGTATATATGGACTAATATCTTGACTCTTTGACCCTTGACTCATGACTGCAATTCGCTCCCTCCCATATTGGGTCTGGAATGGAAAATATGGAATGGGTAAACAAAACCCCAGAAAATCAGGCCTTCAACATCAATGCTTTTCCCCCAACTGTTGTCCAATATGGAGGATCCTGGGAAACCCTCTTTATTACCTGTGTGTTTTTTTAATGGTCTCCATTACTTGCATGAAAAGCAAGATTAAGAGGTTACTATGAACCCCCCAAAATGTTTTCAAGGTTAAAATAGGAAACTAAATGAGTCATTATAGGTCTAGAAAATCGTTGGAAGGCGATGGTTCTCTGAGTTATCCATTGTCTTTATCAAATTCGGGTTTAATCCATCCATATAAAACTGCTCATTCAATTTGGTTTTAAGTATGACAAGAGGGGAAATATAACTAGACTTGTCTAGTGACCAGACAAGACATTGTATCAAAGTGTTAGTGAACATACCTAGTTGGGGAAGACAAAACATTATCATTTGGTTCATGAAGTTAAAAAGGCCGGAAAAATCAGACTAGTATTGATATCATACGTACCAGAAGCACATGATAACTATCTATATCTTCATTATCATTAAACTGTAATGATTTTTTCAAAATATATTTTGTACTTATTATAATAATAATTTCATAAGTTGAAATCCAACTGTTGACTAGATCATCTCGAACCATCATATAATTTTTCTCTTTTTTTTCCTATAAACCAAAGGAATAAAGGGAATTATTTTTTGATGTTTGAACCAGCAAAAGATGCATATGATTGTCCTGTGTTGTCTTTTTGTGCTTATGCAACTAATAGATTTTTGCAGCCTAACTTTAGCTTCGATTTGGATTTAACTAAGCAGAACTCGAAAAGAAGGGAAACAAAGGAGAATCGGCAAAGAAGAGAACTAAAGAAAGCTACCACTGTCT